GGGAACCGGTCTGTATGTGGGATCCGAACCCTCGGCGGGAGCGTCGCCGCACTCTCAAGTGTCGCACTCTACCGAGTGCGCCACCGGGCCGGCCCTCTGAGGCTGGGTTTTAAACTTATGTCAGCAACCTGAACTATACCCAAAGACCACAGCTGGCCCACCCCCCAGCCTACCTGAGCCGAGGTAGGGCCCAAAGCCCTCTCCTGTATAGAGCTTATGTTAAATAGTGATAAAGATGGTGATACACCTCCTTATAGATAAAAATTTACAATATCCTGCTCTGATGGTGTTATCTCCCCTACCCATGCATTCAACATAAAAATTTTTATCAGTAGGTAAAGAACAACAACAACAAAAATGGCATCCCAGTATTTTGTCTTTTTTGTTATAGTTCATCATGCACATGAAACCAGATCAAACTTCATGAACTGAAATTTGGTTCAGGTACTTTTCTCGGTTCTCCTTTACCTACAGAATAAGGCCCCAGACTTATCCAGGAAAATAGTCCTTCCCAGATCCCAACCTACCTTTACAGGGATCTCCTTCATTCATCCCATCCTTCAGCTAAATGATCAACCCCATCCACCTTTCTTATCCTCCCGGGGGACTAGGCCTTCATGATCTCTTATAGTCACAACTGCAGCTCTCCCTTAGCTACACCTCTGCCTCCACTCTCGCCGCAGCCTTCCCTTCTCTGAAATCCCCCTGCACCATCTTCCTAGCTACTGCTTGTTTGCAGCCCTACAGCAGACCTTGATCTCTCACAGCACGAGATGAATTCAGCCCAACTTCCCTGGGCCCTAATAACCCAGCCCTCATCCATCCCTGCCACCTCCTGTCCTGTTCTCACCGGGCTCTCCCTCTACTCCAGTTTGGAACTGATGGGCCAATCCCCACACACAACATGCTCCTTCGGCCTTCTCTGCCTTGGTCAATCTGAGAACCTGGACTTCATCCTTCAAGACCCATGGCACATGCCATCCACTGGGCAAAACCTTCCCAGACAGTCAATTTTCTCATTGCTCCTCATGCATCCTTCCATCACAGCAGGGGTTGTATTATGTTTGCCTTTATATGTACAATTTGTTTGTCCACCTAAATTATGATGCGCTGAATAAAATTACTGCTTCGTTTATATTGGTGTGGTGATCCTATTGTGTGCTGTAAACACTCAACCTTTGTCACATGAGAGAATGAATGGATATGTGAACTTAATATTGCTCTCCTTTGTATCAGTGACACAACTTGCTTACCTCTGTCTGGATGCACTGAATGTTCTCCACCCCATGGCCACTCACATGTCCAAATCCTAAACATCACTTAAAGATGAAGTAAAGTATCTCACTGTAGGGAACTTTCCCTGATCTATCAAAGTGTTATACTGTTCCTCAATGATCTTAACCAGTTTTCTTTTTTGTAAGGTATCAATTTCTCACTTTTAGATTTAGGTCCGTATTATCTACCTTCATATGTAAGCTATTTCAGAGCAGTTTCCATATCTTCCTTGACTTCTATCCTTCAGAATGTCCAGTTTTTCCTAGAAAACTATAGCTCTAATAATCTCTTGAGGAAATGAACAAATTGCAAAACATCCAGATTACAGGTTTTGAGGAGAGCAAAAATGTGAATCAATGCGCATATCATGCAACTTTTATAAGACTACGATTACTGTTGATGATAATAATTTCACATTTAGTTTGTGTTTAGGGCTTTCCCCATTTGTTTTTCAGTTTGAACTGAAATCTGAAAACTGTCCTTCCTGCCATTCATCCACTGTTCAAATAATTTCTATGAGCCAAATTCCAAGGATCGTAATTTCTTAAACTGAATCCTTCCATATCACTTTTCTAATCGCCCTCTTTACGTCTTTGTTCCTCAGTGTATAGATTAGTGGATTCAAGGTGGGGGCAACAACAGTATAAAAGAGGGCAAGGACCTTTCCCTGATTCTGAGAGTAGTTACTCTTAGGCTGTAGGTACATGAACATGATAGTTCCATAGAACAGCGAGACCACCACCAGGTGGGATGCACAAGTCCCAAAGGCCTTCTGCCGTCCTTCAGCAGACTGCGTCTTCACCACAGCCCTGGCAATGCAGGCATAGGAGGTAAGGATGATGGAGACTGGAACGACAAGAATGATCAAGCGAGCAATGAACATCTTCGATTCGACTGGACCAGTGTCCACACAGGACAGCTTGATGATGACCAGGACTTCACAAAGGAAATGGTCCACCCAGCGGTGGCCACACAGAGGCAGAACAATGGCCAGTGAAGACTGGAAGAGAGAGTTGGCAAACCCCGAAAGCCAGGATATGGCTGCAAAAAGGTGGCAGATCTGTTGGTGCATAATTGTAGCATAGCGCAAGGGCCAGCAGACGGCAACGTAACGGTCAACAGCCATGACAGCAAGAAGCACACACTCTGTGGAGCCAAGTGCCAAGGCCACAGAATACTGAACCACGCAGCCCACATAGCTTATCTTCTTACTACCTCCCAAGACATTTGTCAACATCTGAGGGACAATGCAGGTAGTGAAACACATGTCCAGAAATGAGAGGTTTCGAAGGAAGAAGTACATTGGGGTATGGAGCCGGCTGTCCAGGAGGGAGACCAAGATGATGGCTGTGTTACCTGAGAGTGTCACGGCATAGAACCCAAAGACAAACAGCGAGAGCAGGAACTCTGCCTGGGGATATTCTGAGAAGCCAGCTAAGATGAAGTCTTCCTCTGAACTGTCATTTACTTTCATCCTCTGTTTATTTCATAGCACTTGAAACAGAATCAGCTGTTCTCTATATATTGCCCAAATAAGTAAACAAAAAGAAGTTAGCCAATTTTTATATAACACCAAACAAATCCAAACAATGGGAACTCAAATTTCCTGGTGTACAAAACTATTTAAGTGATTTGCGTTCCTGTCTAGTGTCACAAAGAATGTAAGAATTGGATGGAAATGGCTTAAAAGTACATTAAGGGCCTTTTGCTTCTTCCCTTGGTCATATTAATTAAACATTTAGCAAGGCAGCATACAGGTTCTATTTCATTTATATTTCCACTCTTAATACTCTTATTGACAGAGTAATTACGAGAGTAAGAACCAAGTGTTGTAAAAAAAAGCAAAAGTCGGGATATGGTAATTGATGTGATAGACTCATGTCCCCCGACTGGAAATAAGATGACACAACAGTGGCTGTGACAGCAAAAGGAGGGGTTAGACTTGGACCAGACGGACACAGTTAAAATGCTAAAGCATTTTTGCATAGTTACAACTGGTTCCATGGTACCAATATTGTAAATCACACTTTTATTCCTCGCAAACACTAGTTTACACACACGAAAAAATCCAAAGGGAGAGAGTATTTCTGAATAGTGGAACAAAGATCTGCAAGGCGCTGCCCTTCCATAAACACAAGAGCACTGGCAAATATTGTCAAAGTCAACTTTTTCAGATCTATGGATATTAACCAAAGGATTGCAACAATATGAGAGGAACTTATTCAAAAACATGACTGTATTTCAGTGAAAACAACGAGATTTTGCTAATCAAAAAATGTAAAAGGAAAAGCTGGGGAGTGAGATGTCCATAATGGGCTTTGAAA